GAAGGAAACATAAGTTTTAATTTCTCATTTGATATATGAAAATTACAATCGTTCTTTGTATTGTCGCTCTCTTCATATTCATGACAAGGAATCATGTTCATAATAATTTTTGTTATAAAATCTGACTATAAATGTGAACAATCAATGTAAAATGTGATACCAACCGATTGATAAAATCATTCAAAAATTTTTCTTTCCATTGAATGATGCCTTTTCATCAGTACTTCGCATGAAAAAAAATTTGAATCAAAATTATGATGTTTCACGGTTTTGTATACCACATAGTCTTTCTCATAAAGTGCGACTTCTTGGTACTGTTGAACATCATGATTAGTCAAATCGCAGTATAATCACAATCTACATCACGTAGGTAAAGTTAGCAGTAGATTCACGTTTTTTCTGTCCGGATTCGCCATTGTATCTGAGTTAACTCTCGTTCAGGTTGAATTAGGTGCAGAATTCGATTCTGAATCGAATGGTGATATATTCAGACCAGGTTTCCCATAAAAAAATGGCACTTTTCCCAAAACACTGATCTTTTCAGATTTTTTCGCAAAGTATTCCGGGTGCGGATTCGCTGTACTATCTGAGTTGAGTCTAAAAGCGGTTGAGTTGGATGCAGAATTAAATTCTGCGTCGAATGATACTGTTTTCGACTATGGTCATCGAGAAAGAAATTTCGATGAGGATGAAGGCAGGGTCCCATAGAAGGGCAAATGCTACAGTGAGGATGAAAAGTTTTTGGTCGATGACCCTAATCGAAAACAGTATCATTGGACGCAGAATTTAATTATGCACCCAACTCAACCACTTTTAGACTCAACTCAGATAGTACAGCGAATCCGAACGCCGAATACTTTGCGAAAAAATCTGGAAAAATCAGTATTTTGAGGAAAGTGCCATTTTTTATGGGAAACCTGGTCTGAAAATATCATCATTCGATTCAGAATCAAATTCTGCACCTAACTCAATCTGAACGAGAGTCAGTTCAGACACAGAGGCGAATCCTGACAGAAAAAAACTCGAATCTGGCAGTAACTTTACTTATGTCACTTGCTGTTAGTATCATTAATATTTACTTACATTACTACAGTGAACAGTAAAGAATGTCCAACCTTATCATTTATCGAGAAATCTCTTCGTAATGCTCATGTTTCAGGTTCTATAATAATAGTAGTCAATACTATTGATATTCTTTATCATGAAGCATTTGGTTATCAATCTCTTTTACCAGCACAATTGATGAACGAAGATAGAACTATTTTCCTTTTAGCATCTATTTCCAAAATATTCATTGCAATTGCTGTTATATAATGTGTAGAATTCAATGTTGTTCATCTTGATATAGACATAAATCAATGTTTATTATCATCAGATCCACATGCATCACATCTACTTTATCCATTACATTCGATTACATTACGTCAATTACTTTCACATTCAGCACCTATTGGACCAAATGACGAAGTAGAAGCTACCTTCCTTCAAGCTGGTAATAAAGTATTAACAGAGACAATGTTAGCAGAAGCATGTTTTCCTTGTTTGAGAGTCATAAAACTTCCGATTGTTTGCCATATCCATCAGGTACTGTCATATTCTATTCAAATGTGGACGATGCTTTTACTGCATTGGTCGTTGAATGAGTAGCAAAAATGTCTTATGAATAATATATCAGAGATAAACTCTTGAAGCCCTTAGGTACCAATGTAAAGGAAGCGAATTTTGTCCCTCCGATATTGAAAATCGAACAAATTTTGTCAAACATTATACATTCAATTCATAGCAACTACACGAATGGAATCGATCGATATCACAATTAAATGTCACAGGTAAAAATATAATTGTCTTTAACTACCATCGGAATTTTAAAAGAAGGCATCTGGAAAAAAAAGCTTATAACTTTCGAACGAAAAGTCATAGCGATCTGCGGTTTTCAGCAATCGATAGAAGATTATAGGTGGCACATTTTTACATAAAAATCAAGGTTTAAATAATCGGTGATTGTGGAATCACTGAAAGAGTAGGCTCATTATTTGGTGAAATCTCAGCAGAACAAGATGAAACTTTCAGCATATATAGCCCTATACTGCACCCCAATCTTCGCTGAAAATATCATCAATAAATCTTGTAATGACGAGGAATGGTGAGCCAATCATCATCTGACCTTACATAAGACTCTCATTCACTCAAAATATTAGGAAATGGCCTCAACTTTTGGCTGAATAAATACCATAATCTAGACTTTATATCTATGCAATAGCATCGCACTTTGATCGTAAAAATGTACAGAAATAGCCAAAATTCGACGAAGAAATGATTTTCATACAGTAAGTATTTTAAAACAAATCTTTTCAACTTTCTTAAGAGAAATGCAGAATTTAGTAATGTTTTCACCGTCTCTTCTCGTTCATTTAAATCAAACTATGATATAATTGCATAGATATGAAGTCAAGATTATGGTATTTATTCAGCCAAAAGTTGAGGCCATTTCCTAATATTTTGAGTGAATGAGAGTCTTATGTAAGGCCAGATGATGATTGGCTCACCATTTCTCGTCATTACAAGATTTATCGATGATGTTTTCAGCGAAGATTGGGGTACAGTGGGACTATATATGCTGAAAGTTTCAGCTTGTTCTGCTGAGATTTCACCAAATAACGAGCCTACTCTTTCAGTGATTCCACAATCACTGATTATTTAAACCTTGATTTTTATATAAAAATGTGCCACCTATAATCTTCTATTGATTGCTGAAAACCGCAGGTCGCTATGACTTTTCGTTCGAAAGTTATAAGCTTTTTTTCCAGGTGGCTTCTTTTAAAATTCCGATAGTACAATAATTTTTAAGAATAATGCTATACACTGATATTTCTAATTGGCTTTATATTCCATTCTATAGCATTACTATCTATCCTGGTGATCTTTTACAAATGTCGGCTTATCCACTTTCATTATATTTTCGCATATTTATGAATAATAGATCGTCACATCTTCGTCCTGAATCTATTGTTGAAATGTGAACAGTTGTGAACAGTGTAATTCCTTATCAAAATATAACTACAAATAACAATGAATCATCATTTCCATTATTAAAATGTAGCATCGCTCGAAATTGGCAAACTTTAAATGATAGCCGTTGATTTCTTGGTCATGGTGGTACAACGCCTGGTACAACAAATTCAATGTTAATTAATGAAAATAGTAATATAGAAATGATTATTCTTTCAAATGCGAATATCTATCCAAAATAATGATTTATCAATAAAGATTTATATGTCATTCAACAATGTTCGATTCGCACTTTTCGATTGTTTCAAAAGTTGATTGTATTAACATAGGAATTTTTTATGACGAAAAATAAATAGATATATATATATATAACTTGTTTGAAGTTATTTTATTGATTAAATAAGAAGTTCATTTTGACAGCATGTGCGTATAGCTATCTTTATTTGGTATTTAAATAACAATCAGATAAATAACTGTTGTAGCTATCTTGAGGCTGTGGGTATAAAGTGTAGGCGTGCTTATATATTTTGAGCCTTCTTGTAATCTACAACCCACTCATACCCATTCATGCTCATATGATATGAATGTATTTCCACATCTGCTTCAAGATTATGCTTGCGAAATTTGTCAAGATTCGCTTCCCAAATAGTTTGACTGTACCCATTAATATTTACACACTTTGTACACACATGCAGATCTACACTTACTGAGACAACTCTTCTACCATAGAGATATTTGTTTTCTATGGATATGTTTGAACGAAAGCTATGAATTATGGAGACTTGTATATACACGGTAAATTGTTGTTACAAACAGCAAGATACAATGGATAAACAAAGCATTCATTACCTTGAAAAATACTTTGTTTTTTTTCTGACGATAAAAGCAAACGTTGTATGTGCCCTTATATTAATATCGATAATTTATCTAACACAGAAAAATGTAAGCACAAGAAGATGTTATGCGCCATATTTACGAATATTTGTCTTATCATGGCATGAAACACATCTTCATTTGAAATTAGTTTTTCTTAATTGGCTACTTTAAGAAAAAAAACTAATCAATTTATCGTTCAATATGAATGATAATTTCAAAACTGAACTATTATCAAGCGAGTCAAAAGAACAGTGTAAGAACTTCCGATAAAATTACACGTTTCTTTGATCCATTCGGTGTTTGCACGATTGATTTCGATCATGCGTTACAGAGGTGTAGGTATGAAAGAAGAGAAAAGCCACACCTCACACCAACGCTTGCACCCTCATATCAAATTCTACCTCAGATACAAACACTCATGCCTACAATCACAGCTACATCCAAATCCTCATATCTACACTCACATCCTTGACTCGATGATTAACTTAGAAGAGCGATTGCTCATGACTCTGATTTATATCTGTTATCTCAGAATCGATTTGACTCTATTTCAGTCACATCTTGGATGAAGAACAATTTCAAATATGCAAAAATTAAACTATATGTTGTATGACCTAAGTCTAATATCGATAACTAAGAATAAGATATCAATCCAACTGAGCTGGTGCATTGATACTAGCAATCATGTAACAAAATGAAGTCGAACGTTTCGTCGAATGTAATTGTCAGTCAGGTAAGATGCTTACGTGAACTGCAATCAAATGATTTCTCACTGATCATATAGATTACACAACTTGAAATTATTCAAATTATATTATTTAATAAAATCATTCGAATGAATTTTGCCAATCATTAGAATAGTTTTACTGTGTTTAGACAAAGAACTAAATCTTCAGTTAGATCGACGTATGAATTTCTCTATAACAAAGCAATGATCAGAGAATTATGAATCACGGATGGCAGAGGCAAAGCTTAATGTAATCGAGACAAAAGCAAAAACTATCAAATGACAAATGATTAAAAAGTTGATTATTGATAAGAAGAAAGAAATGAAAAGCTGATAATCATTATAAAATTATAGTACAACGAAGAATATGGTAGAGTTGATGTTCGAATCAAGTGCCTGTCGATAGAGTACCTGCACCTATCCCATAGCCGACACCTTTCGGACCGAATAAACGTTTATAACAATCTAAAGTAATAGAATTAAATTACAATAAGAAATGAAAAGATTTTATATCTTACTATTATCATAAAGATAACCGTCATGTTCAGAGTAATTTGCACCGTTGATACTCTTTTTACAGTTCACACATTTGTAGCATTGTTTGTGAAACGTCTAAATAATATGTGCGAATTTAAAAATTGAAATAGAATTTTTGAAAACTTCACCTGTCCAGCAGCTTTGACTTCTTCGGCAAAGTAGACAGTTTTTTCACAACGAGAGCAAATGTTACCCATTGTCTTCGAAACTGTCGGATTGGACGAAGACACTCGATTGTTTGTCTCTAATGTAGGTCGTATGTTTGATGCGCCATTATTCATGATGCCATGAGTGAAATTTGTTCGATCATACTAATTATATAAACAAAAATTTCTTTGGCTCAATAATATTTATTCGAAGTAACAAGAAAATTATTGATTTCTTGACGAGTCGTTCATCACTGCTGCTAAACTTTGTGCAATAAATAGAACTATTTCGTTCAGATTTAAAAGTACCGAAAGAGGTTCGCTCTTGAGTAGTTCTTGCCTTTCATCTTTTTGTTTTTGTTTACAAACATCACTGAAGGTGAATTACATCCTCAAAAAAAATCTTGTACGCTGAATATTCTACAAAATGATATATATATATCATTCTGTCTGCATGATTTTTATGAATTTATGAATAATTGTGCTCTTTTTCAATCATATTCACAACATGTTTGCATTGATAATGTAGACGTTGAAACTTCATATTGAAGAAGTTGACATGTTTGATAAAAGAACAATTATTTGATGTTTTGAAAATTGCGTGAAAAAAAGTGACTGAAAATTTTTATGGATAGAAGAATTCGATTTCAGGAGCTCCTTTCAAACCAAGATTCATAGTAAAACAGATAATTCGATTTCCTTCGTGTCATGTTGAAAATCATCTTCAAGAACAGAAAACGCTCTACAATGCATCAATTTCTTTTTTGAATGAAAAACAGTAGTCATCTTCTCTAGTTTGAAATAATACTTTAACTGAAAATGAGTTCTATTTTCTTTTATCAATCGTTATCACTTTCTGTATTTGAATGAGTGAAATAATCCATTCTATTTAATCTCATAAGTTTTGTGTAAATCGATAAAGAATCTTACAGATACATTGTTGCCGGTTGATATTTCTTCACTAAGTGGAGACTGCAATAGAATGAATCAGAGATATATTCAATTAATCAAGAATATTAGAATAATGTTTTCATCTTACTTGCTCAATGAGCCGATTTCCAAGACCGGAGGACTTGTTTGAGGACATAGGATCTCAGCGAATGATTCACAACTGTTTCTTTCAAATTAATTCAATACTTTATCTAGGAAAAAAGTAGACAATTGAAGTTATATAAGTCATATGAATTTGAATATGTAAAATGGAAATAAGTGGAAGTCAATTAATCATAATCAACTTGCATGATCAAAACATCTTAGTATCGTATAAATGTGAAAGAAGTAAAAAATACCAGTTGGTTACATGAAGTATATCAATATTTAACAAAGATAAGATTGTTTGCATCTAATCGAATACTTAAGCACATGAAACAAAATATATGATATGAAGAAAAAAGATCCAAAGTAAATTATTGACATCTTTATAACTGAAAATATTACTCTTGTAAAACACCTTTTCATTCTGTAAATGTTCTACATTACCAGTCATTTTGTTACTAACTCACTCTCTGAAAAACAAAATCAAAAAGCCTATAAATCAACATAAATGGTTGTAAATGTAGTAGATTATCTTGAATGACAAGACCGATTAAGATCCTTAACGACATAATGATTTCAACTAAAAAAAAAAGAATAGTTCTGAGATAAAATATAAACAATATTAACGGATAGTTTTGTTATTTTTTTGTTCACATTAACTTCACACATGAGTGTGCGAAAAGCCGTATGTATTATTTGAAGAAATAAATATAACATTGACGTATGAGAAAATTCATTATCTTTTGATTCATATGAGCACAGTTACTTTTCTTAAATAAATTTTTCAAGTCAGAAATTCGAACATGCCGATTTTGTGTAGATCTGACTTGATCATGATGCAATCTTAATTCAATTATTAATCTTCTGATCTTTTTCATTCAACGGAAAAAAGAAACTTGCTTATCAATGCTATTTTCATAATATATTTATTCAAATTTCCTATAATAAATTTAAACTTTTTTTCGGTATACAATCATTATTATCGTTTCATAACTAGAAAATATAAATATTTAAATCAACAAACAACACACATAAGACTATGTATTTACAAATTTTTAATCAGTTTTGATTTCATTATGATCATCCAGTAGCAAATAATATTTTAACATTTGTATTTTCTTTATCGTTATTATTAAATTCTTTTAAATACCATTGTTTCTTTTTTGTTAAAAGATTTTTCCAAAATCCATGATAAAGAAGAATCATATTAAGATAAAGTCGTTCATCATTACTCATTATTCGTTTTGTTTTCGTTTCAGTTGGAATCCAAATCATTTGCCGATCAAATTTTGAATAAATAAGACAAGGAATATTATTATAAACAATTCCACCTTGTCGTTTTGTTGCCATAATAAATTGTCGATCTAGATTATTTTTATAATTTAATTCAATTTCATTTAATGATGAAGTTTCAAATAATTGAACAAATTGTAAATTTAAATTTGAATTTTTATTTAAAAAAAGATGAAGTAAAACTTGAAGTGAAAGAAATGGGAATTCGTCAAATAGATTTCTATCTAAACTTTTTGCAGATGGTAAAACTTTTGATAAATCATTATTATGACCACGACGAATTCTATTCCATTCATAATTTGATTGAGCTTGTTCAATAACAACAATATAAGTATGATACATCGGTGAATTTCGATCACTATAAGAAATCATATATGATGATGGTACAATTAAATTTTGTCGAATATCATCAAGATTAATATAAATTTCATTATTTAATCGATTTTTAATAAATGGATAAATATATGAATCGATTTGAATAAAACCACCTGCTTCATCAACAATTGAAAGATCTAACTAAAAAGTAAAATTAAATTTCTCTTTAAAAAAAAAACTGTTAGTGCAATCTCTACGGGATTTAAATGTGAGAAACACGATCGAGCTACTGTTACGAATTACAGAGGAATTTGCTTTATTCTATTTATTTTGAGATATATTTTTTCACCATTCTTGTACTTGGTCCTGCAGAACTGTAATAAGAAAGTATGTAGTTCATATATAATCTTTGATTGTATCTTAACATCTATCATGGTTTGTGACGAAGGAAGAAATGTTGATAATGAAGAAAGTTTTCCAACTGATAAAATGCTTTTGAATCAAGACTATGTGTATTATATAGACCCAAATGAGCTATGAACAAGGCTCTCGATGTGGGGGGGGGGGATGGGGTGGGCTAGTCCCCCCCACTTTGTCAGAGTGTCTGCCAAAATTTTGCTGTTACGTGTCTGCGAAATTTTGAATATGGTCTGGAAAATTTTTAAATAGACGCTGTTCGGGAGATCTTCGCAAGCTACCCCCCCCCCGCTTGGCCCCGATTTTGTTTTTGTGTACGGAACTTCTTCCGAGATTTGGCTCATCCCTGAAGGGGGATAGGGGAATCTTTCCAAAGCTCCCCCCCTCCCGTTGCGCCCGATCACGACTTTCTATGAAACACAGAAAGTGGCACGCTACCGCCCGCCCTTCGGTCATCAGTTTTCATGAAAAACTAGGACATTTTCGGTAGCTATTTCTAAAAAGCTTTCGTTAACAGACTGTCTGCGAAAGTTTATGAATAATGTGAGCGCCCCCCCTCCCCTCCACTCTCAAAAACAATCGAGAGCCTTGGCTATGAATATCATAAAAAGTGTTTGTAACCTCAGCTTATTGCTGCGAAGATACTGCACATTTACAGTAGTTTTATACATAAATACGGTAGCTTCCCATCAGGAACAATAGGAAAAAATCTAATTTTCCAATTGCGATTTGAAACTTTTCATAGAGAAAGATCTGAGTGAGAGTAGTTTATTGTGAAAGTTTTAAATCATTTGATTTTCTTCTATCCTGAAATACGAGTATGAAATCTGCTGGCTTTACCTGAGTGATGTAAAAGACATGCTATTACCATAGTTTATATCTTAAGAGAGAAACAGATACAGCATCTAAAACATTCATAAAAACACATTTACAGCATTCATTTACAAAACTACCATAAATTTACAGTATCTCCATAGCCATAAGCTAATTTATTAGTTGAAGGACTTCCCTCGTAAGGTGTCTGCTACGGTCTATGATATTTCCATGGTTTGTCGGGAATGTAAATATCTGCTCCATATGTTTTAATACTCCTGTTAGATTGTGTTTCAGAAAAAAGAAAAAAAAACAAATTAATTTATTACACGTTCTTCAAATAATGATCGTCGTTGAGCTATATTTGTCGATAAAATACATGTTGATTCCATATCTTGTTTTTCTGTTAATCGAGTTAATACTATTTTTTCATCTAATATCCATCGATCACGTGCTTCTTGACGTATTTTATTCAATGTTTCTTGCCATTCTTTACATTGTTCGATAGAATGAAGATCATTTTTAAAATTCAAATTTTTTGTAAGATTTACAATAGATAAAACACCATCAAGCATTGAAACACTTAATAATTGATAATTTGACCAATCTGAAGTATCATTTAACGAAGATAATTCATCATAATAAGTTTTCTCTGTATTTGTCATTTCAATAACAGGTAAATTTCGAATATCAACTAAATCATTTTTATGTGGAGGATGTGCAAAAATATTGAGAACATAAGAAAAGCGAATATAAGGAATATAAAAAGTATCATTAAATAATCTATGTATAAAAGAAAATGAATTATTAGAAAATCAAATTGTATGTAACAAAGACTTACCGATAAATAATAGGCATTTGATGATCAAAAAAAGTAACAATACCATAATGTTTTTTCGTTGAAGGAAAATCAACAGCACGTATCTGTTGTTTTGAGTGAGCAAGTGAAGGAGTCGAATGAAAAATTGGAAAATCCAAAATATCTTTTTGATATTCATTCATTGAATTCATACATTTCATATCATTATTAAAAAAATCAAAACCATCATCAAAATCCATGATTATCTTTTTTTTATTAACTAAAAAACAAAAAAAACAAATCTATATATTTGAAATTATTAAATAATTCAATAATAATAAAATGAAAAATATTATTTATCAATAGATATTTTCATTAAACATTCATGTCGAATAAAATTTAAACATCGATATCTCGAATACATTTTTCCATGTACACGACTGATCTAATATGAAAGAAAAACAAAACTAACCACGAACATATATATATACGACGATAGAATTGATGATTCACATGAAATTCTTTTTTGTTTTCACTTAAACCTTTACTACAGATGTTGCTCATCATCAAATAAAATGTATATGAGAAAAAATTTAATTTATTAAAAATATTCTAAAAAATATATAATAAGTAAGAATATACATCATATCATCTTTTCAACATATTGACTGAATTCTGATGTTGTAGTTGGCTAGAAATTAGATGTTTCAATTTATTTAATGTATTCAATTATTAGATTCTCTGAATAAAAATTATACTAATATTCAATTGAAAAACGATTTCATGAAAATATTTCTGTTTTTTTTTAAGGTAACTTGAGTTAATAGATAGATTAAGGATACAGAAAAAAAAGCATATCAATAAATGACTTAAGAACATTTTATAGGCAACTAACGACAACTACTGGTAAATTTTAGCAGCATACTGACCATGGTATTATATGGATTAAAATGATATCATGCTTTCATTTCATATAATGGACAATACTAGTAAAACCGTTAATATTGATGTTTTGAGATGTGTCTTTACACATCGAAATCATGCTGATTTAATGTATTTAAGAAAACACTATAGGCACATAAGGACTCCAAATAAAATGACCTAATTTTCAATGCCGTCACTCTGATTTGTTGTATTCAACATTTTTTTTTTTTGTTTAATTTTTCTAGATATAAATTATGCCTCAAAAATTTCGTTGTGGTCGGTTAATATTACATAAAAATGGAGGAGTGAGAAAACTCCATCTTTCACATGGTGGTGGTACTCGTGATTGTAAATTGAGTCATATTGATATGGGTTTTGATCAAATTCATGATCAACTTCGAGATATTTTCTCATTAAGTAAATATAAATGAATATAATTTTGATATATTTTCTTTTTTTTTATTTTCATTTTTCAATTTATATTATAGATGAAACTAATCGTGTTTCAACATTATATGATTTTCAACGTAAAAAATTAGATACTCAACGATATCAAGATTTTTATGATTATATAAATAAAAATGGTTTAAAATTTAATGCTACTTTATTATATCTATGTACACCAGCAGGTTAAATAGGAATATTTATTTTGATAATGATTTTTGTTTATTTTTTTTTAAACAGTAAATGAACGTACTGCTCATTCAACATCATCTGAACAAACAAGAACAAATACAAGAACAACAACACAATCAATACAAAATCAACCTCAAGTACAAAAAAAGTAAAACAAAGAAATTTAATAATTAATTAATTAAAAATTAATTTGTTTCTTTTTTAATATAATAGAATTTCTCTTGTTGAAGCTGATTCTTCTACATCAACGGTTATGATTAAAATTGATGATAATGATGATTTACAACACAATCATATATCAACAAATGAGTATAGCATTGATTTCTTTTCTTTTTTTTTTTTTTTTAGATGAAAAAGTTTTCTTCTTCTTTCAGAAATGTAGGTCTCAATCCTATAGCTGAAACTCTTCGAACATTCTCATTATCATCATTTTCAAATTATTCATTTGAAAAATCATTAAATGGATTGGTTGATTATTTACGTCATTTAGTTACTCAATATAATCATGAAAATATATTTCTTAAATTATTTGAATTATTATGTGAATTACGAGTTCTTTCATCGATTAATTTAGATCGATTAAAACAGCAAATTGAATTAATAGATGAAAAACAAGAAAAAATTGATAATGAAATATTAGATAAAATTGAAAAATCATCTCGATCAGTTAAAGTATTAATAGAATTAAATAAAATTAAAATTTCTCATATTGATCAACATTCAATAATTATTGATTCATTCAATCAATTTTATCAAAATTTTAATGTAAGAATATGAATTATGAAATTTTTCATAGGTCTCTCATTATTTCAATCTCAAAAAAAAGTTTCATTTTAAAATCGATAATAAAAAGTCGCCCAAAAATTTCGACTCTCGTGTGTAAATTAACGTTATCTATATGAATATATATATATAAATGGTTAATTGTAATACACAGTTTTGTAGACAAAGATTAACGCCATAAATTGAAAAGAAAACAGTTCGAATTACATCTACATCATGAAAAGTTATGATTGTTTTATTAATTATGACACTAAACATTTTATAATTTTATAATTTTTGCAAAAATATGCCCGTAACATCTGAAATGAAATGTTGTTTTCTAGAGATTTTTATATGGTTCAATAGAGTTCAATAAGCTCTACGAGAAAATGAATATCACAAAAATTCTAAGCTTGTTACCAATATAAAATTTGGTCGAAGCTTTTGGACCATCGTTTAGTATTTTGAATAGATTCTACTAGTATTTATAGTAGTACTTATTAATAATCCGATTGGATTGAGTTTCAATTTCCTAAGATGAAAAATCATTCAAAGGTTTTCAGATATGTACGTACACGTTGCGAGAAAGAATCTACAACAATTCGTTACAATGTAGAATTGATCGTAATGCTAAAAAATAAAATCGACCACGAAAACTGTGTTAGCACAATTCTTGTGGGATTAAAATGTGAAGCATGATATAGCTACTATTGCTAATCATAGAGAGGTCGTTTTATTCTATCTATTTTGTGTTATATTTCTTCACTATCCTATTATCTAATCCTACAGAAATGTAATAAGAAAGTAGTTCATATATTATAGCGAGATTTTACTAATATACGGACTTTGATCGTATATCAGCAACATCTGTGATAGTCTCAATATCTCTAATTCTAATTTCATTTTAATTATGATGCTCAATATGTTTCATATAATTATTGACTTTGTATTAGCTATGATACTATTTTAGAGATGTGTAGTTTCGATGAAAATACTGATAGTGAGTCTACTGTCTACATTGTAGATCTGAACGAAATACTCGAGTATCAAGAATTCTAAAAGGTGGGAGAGGATAAAGCTGTTTGTTCGTTCCGAAAATGTTTTCAATTTTGTCTTGAAATTAATTTCAGTTGTGACTCTTAATATCATTGCAATGGTTTATTTCTCGCCAAATTTTTATTGATCTCATAGAGGAGTATGGATGTGTCTCGAAAAATTGATCGAGAAGCATTGTAAAATAAACTTTTATTAATGTTATCGAGTGTCGCCACTGGATTGATTTCAACACCGAAAAAATGAAAGATTTTTAGAGCAGAAAAAAAATACGGTCTTATCCACTTTCGTCGTTTTAAATAAAATGTATTGTACTAAAATGGTATCAGGTACCTATTTCCTTCATTCGAAGATGAAGCAAATAGCTGATTTCTTCTGCCCTCGATCTTATATAAAATGCTATAACCTTATTAAATACATATCCTGAAGTAATCTTAATCAAGAAAGTCCTTACTTTCCTAACTCTACTACACTGAATCGGTGTTCACTGAAGTATTGACACACTCATATACTATGGATATGTCAGGTAAATCAATGAACATCAATTCAGTGTAGTCAATGTGAGTTTTCGGTGAACAATTTACTGCAACTACATATCTCTAGACTATTTGAATTTGTCTGGTTATATATATTTTTTGTAATAATGTTATAATATTCCAATTTTTTTTTAAACACATTTTAATCTTTAGACCTTACATGATCAATGGACTAATAATAAAAACAATAATAGACAAAGTGCACCTGTTTTAACATGTCACTTAACTGGTCGAACTCCGTCAATAAATCATTCAGTTGATCGAACACCATCAACAACTTATTCGACTGATCGAACCCAACCATCAAATCGTTCAATTAATCGAACACCATCAAAAAATCATCCAATCGATCAAACATCATCAACAACTTATTCAACTGATCGAACTCAACTATCAAATCGTTCAACTGATCGAACATCATCAAAGAATCACCCAATCGATCGAACATCATCAACAACTTATTCAACTGATCGAACCCAACTATCAAATCGTTCAACTGATCGAACACCATCAAAGAACCATCCAATCGATCGAACATCATCAACAACTTATTCAACTGATCGAACCCAACTATCAAATCGTTCAACTGATCGAGCACCATCAAAGAACCATCCAATCGATCGAACATCATCAACAACTTATTCAACTGATCGAACACCACCAAAAAAGCGTTCAATTGATCGACCATCATCAAGAAGCTTCTCGTCTTCATCACCTCGATCTCATTCTCGAAAACAATCACGAGTATTATCACCATCACCTCATCGATCATCATCATCGTCATATCGAAAATCAACAGAAGAAGATAAAGATAATCATTTTTCATTATTTAAAAATGTAAGTTTATATTAATCGAAAACAAAAAAATAATAATAATTTCTTGATTTGTTTTCTATTTAGATTTTAAAATCACTTGATTATTTATCTGATGTCTTAGATCATTTACGTTTTACATCATTTTATTATTTGGTTAAATCAATTATTGGTGAAATAAAATCTTGTCGATCAACTATCAATTTATCTGATTATCGATCATTACGTGATGGTGAACAAACAATAATCTCAATAGAACGTCGTCTTACGAAAAGAATGAATGATGAATATCATCATGCATCACCACATGGAATAGATCGTCAACTTGACAATTCATTTAATGCAATATTAGATTCAATTCGACAATTATTAATTTCTCTTCGTCTTTATCAATCACAAATAAAGAATAATAAACGACCAAGAACAACACGTTGGTCATCACCTAATATTTCATCATCTATTGAACATAATCATATTGAAAGTAAACCAATAATTGATTTAAATCAACAAGATATAAAAATTGATGATGATCAAAGTTCTGAAGCATCACATTCATCATTAGGTGATGAAATTTTAATGGAAGTAGCAAAGAATGCATACGAACATAGGCCAGATCGTTATAAATAAATTAAAACCTTTGTTTTTTTTTTGTTTTTTTGTTACTTATGTTCATATATTTTATTTCTTTTTGTTGTTTGGTTTTTCAACATTCAGATAAACGATGAAATAAAAAAGACTTTCATTTTCAGATAATGAATAATCTTCGTCGATTCATTTCAATAACTCAATTATTACGAACAATACAGTAAAATTATTTCTAAATTTTAGCTAGAAAATTATTAATAAATAAATTTTATTTTTTATTAGATCTAAATCATGGGTTCCTCGTCAATGCAATATGACTTCTACGGCGATCAATCAATCTTTATATAATTTTTCTGAAGATGAACGAATGCTTAAAGAAACAGGTTATTTATATTTGTTAATTATTTTATTAAATTAATATTAATTCGTTTGAATAGTTGCTCGATTTGGCAAAGAACATGTTGAACCTTATGTTCGTGAAATGGAAGAAGCAGGTGGATTTAAACCTGAATTAATACAGGCAATTTTTGATCAAGGCGTGAGTAATTGTTTGTTTTTGTTTTTTTTTTTGCAATTCTATTTGATACATTCGTTCTGTAAAGTAGTGGTTGGGCATTGAAATCCCTACGGAATACGGAGGCAGTGGTTTCAATCTTTTTTCATCTATATTGGCAATTGAGGAAGGTTCAAAAATAGGTTAGAAAATCAAAAAAGTAAAAAATAAACATTATCTTTACAATAGATTAAATAAGTTTTTAAAAACTACGTTTTTTATTTTTCTTTTGTTCATTTAGACAGTGCTTTTGGAGGTATGAGTTAATTCATTAGTATTATTAATTAAAGTATAGTTTTATTGATTAAGGTTTAATTGATTTACAAAATACTGTTGTAAATCCTTTTTTTATTCAACTTGCTAATGATGCTCAAAAAGCCACTTATTTGCCTCGTTTAGCAAAAAATATGGTAATTTATTTGAATTTATTATTTTCTTTTTTTTCATTTCTAGTTAATGTCTATTGATGTTCCATTGGAATATGGTGGTTCAGGTCAAACATTTTTTTCAGTAGCTCTTGCCATTGAAGAAATATCAAAAATTGATCCAAGCGTGGGATTATTTATTGATCTATCAAATACTCTAATCAATCGACTTTTTTTAATTTATGGCACAGAAGAACAAAAAAGTCATTTCTTACCACGATTAACTAAAAATCTTGTGCTGTTTTTTTTAAATTTTTTTAGTAAATTATAATGAAAATTTTTGATATGTTCTTCTGTTTATTTTAGGTTGGTAGTTTTTGTTTATCTGAACCAACATCTGGTAGTGATGCATTTAGTTTAAAAACAACAGCAAAAAAACAAGGTGATTATTATATATTAAATGGAACAAAAATGTGGATATCCAATGCAGAAATTAGTGGAGTATATCTTGTTATGGCAAATTTAAATCCACAAGCTGTAAAGAAAAAAAGACGATAAAGATTTATTTGAAATATTATATTGTTCGGTTTTTTTTTTCTTTAGAAACATAAAGGTATTTCAACATTTATTGTTGATCGTGATACAGAAGGTTTACGTATTGGAAAACGAGAAAAAAAACTTGGCTTAAAAGCATCATCAACATGTATGGTTCATTTTGATGATTGTAAAGTATGTATCAACAACAGTCATCTGTAGATATATAATTGATTAAAGATATATTATCTGTTCTATAGGAAACGACGATAGTTAGGAGATAAAAAAAAAAAGCTTATTATGCAGATCTCTAATCTACAATCAAAGTAAGAGCACATGTATAGTAAGATTCTTTATGGATCATAGACGATAGAATATTTTGAATCTGGGATAAGCTAAACAATCTTTATAAAATTCCTATCGGGAAGTTAAGAATAAGGAAGAGGGGGGAGAGAGGTGACGGAACTAGCCGTCACCTATATTCTCTCTTCTTTTCCTTCTATAGTCTTTCCTTGATGGTTCTACTTTTTATTTTGCCTTCTTTATCGCGCTTTTTCTCTCTCTTCTGGTTATTACTCTTCTTTATTCGTTTTCTTAGTCAGTAGCTTTACTACTACTAGTTTCTTCTTATCTTTCAACATACGTAGCTTCTTCATTTATTTCCATCTTATTGACTTATTTCTATCATACACATTTTCTCTCCAACATTCACTTTCGTCTTGACTGCTACCTTTCAGTCAATCCTTTATTGACTCATCTACATTATTCTTTGTTTTCTGCTTTTCTTCTCTCGTCAATTATCATCGTTCTTCTCGTTCATCATTTAACAACATATATTTGGGGAAGCTTCATTCATCTGCAACTCATTTCATTTTTCAACTTCATCAAGTGCCAACCCTACTGTGCCACCAGGGATTGCAGCTTGTTGGTGCTTCACAGGAGGGGAGGAACAAATCATTTTATGGTATTCAGATGAAATACAATCAGTACTTCTTATTTCCACCTCACATTTTGCATGGAAAAAAGTGTATTTGAAGGGTATCTCATTCTTCTTTCTTGAATATTTCTAGTTCTCGAAGATGGCACAACTGATTAAGTGGAAACTTTTACCACAGATAGGGGCACAAAAAATAAGGAGACACATGTTTGAGGGAAAAAATTTTGTAGTGGATTATTGCTGGGAAACCTTGGTTTTTAATAGAGTCTCATGTTACTTGCTTATGATCCTCATTAAATTTTATTTGTTTTGGCTGGAAAGTTTTTGGGGACACCCAAGACTATATCTCAGAGGTAATTTTAAGCTTTCCCAATAATTCCACCCTTTTTTTATGAGAGAAATAAGTAAAGTTTCGGAGCCATAATCGAAGTCTTTATTTTCAAGTTCCTATAAATCCAAGTAGGAAAATCGAAAACGAAAATGGTCGATTCTAGCTTTAGAGAATAATTTCAAATATCCGTAGTAAGAATTCCAGCCCGATTGAACAAAGCTAGATGGAGATCGTAGATTATCAAGATACCGCTCTATGAAAAATTAGAATTTCTCGATCAAAATTTCAGCTCGATCGATTATATCGTCTTCAAAAGCCAGAAATAGTCAAAAAAAAAGAGGGAAAATGCCATTAATTAATTTCAACTCTCGAAAGAAAAGTTTTCGATCTACTTCACTGAAAAACAGAATTATGATAAAGTAGCAGTGCTCATAAAGACAAAACGAACTCCATTATGGGTTTGCTCACTTTGCTAAAAATATTTGTTAGACACGCAAGCTTAACAACTGAAGACGAAGAAAACTTTCAGCAACTGGTAATTTATCTAACTCGAGTTTCTCGTACAATTCTTCTTCATTTTTAATAAAAGAATACTAAGAATAAGAAACAAATGTTTGAGCCTATTCAAGTCTGTTGGCTTTGTCGTCATTGATATAGATTGAATACTTTGAATCGTATTGTGATTTATGTAGAATTGCAAAAATCTAATTTAATGAGTATTTATTTACTTTTATTGGGAATCTTGTTCTTTATTCTTGATGATATTGTAGTTTTTTAGCTGGTCAAGAAATAAACTAAAGTTAAATTGCTATTATAATTAAAATTTAAACTAAACCAAAAAATTTTTATTTTCAATTTATTCCTTTTATTTCAAATACTTATCATCTTCATAATAAAAGTCTTCGTATCAGTAGATCTCTTCACAGTAGAAAATTTCTTGTCTAATTATTTAATTAATTAAAATAATGTAACTTTAATCAATATATTTAAATGAAAATATGTCTACTTTTTCGAATTCTCAGAGGAAAAAATCAATGAATTCTGTATCTTTTTAATCTTGAAAAATGTGTTTAACTATTAAGGATTACTTATAGAACATTTATTCGCTTAGACATAATAGAATGGCAAGGATCATCTATTAGAGAACATGAATTAGAGGTTCCATTATATATACATCTATGCATTTTCAATTATTATGTATTTTTATTTTATTCGTGCTAATAAGAAATAAAGTGGCATATTGCATTGTAACTATGATTTAAATAGTCATTACATAAATATCATTTTCTTTCTAAATGGCATAATTGATTTATTTACGTTCTGTTTCTCTTAAAGAGAAGAAAGATAAAAATATATGAGAGAAGGTCATTCGTTAGCGACGTGACAAAGTACGAATATACAAACAAAAAAAAAAAATCGTTCTTATAATCGAATGAGAACTTCAAAATCGATTTCAAATGGTACAAATCCTTCTTCAAAATTTCTAGATGATAATAAGACAAAATTTTTTTTTTTGTTCCGAGACTTGAAAGAATCTTTAGAAGACTGGTTTTTAAGGAAAAGTTTTTTGAAGTCGGATCTTATTAAAAGCTTCACCATTTGTGCCATAGAACTTATTCTGAAATTTTCGAATTTGTTTCTTGTATGATTAGAGAAATATTTTTCCTAATTATTTTTTAATTGCTTAATAGTCATTTGAATATAACCAATATTTTTATATATATGTCTAAGCTAAAAGAACTTATTCAGAAAAATAACTCTTGTAAAGAATCAAAGTCAAATGGAAGATGGATATGTCCCACTTGCCCTAACATTATCCGTAAATGGATATTTTGATTGTTGTTTATACTATTATTTTTGTTTTTTCTTATTCATTTGCTTTACATATTGACATACTGATCTAAACTGTTTTAATTTAGCTAAGATTGTACCTATGTTTAGTACATATATGAGAAAAAAAAGTTCAATTCTGTTTAGAATTTAAATATTAAAAAATATTTTATTATTTTATTGTAGGTTCCAGCTAAAAATCTTCTTGGTAAAGAAGGTGAAGGCTATAAATATGCTATATCAATGCTTAACGAAGGTCGTATTGGTATTGCTGCTCAAGTTTGTAAATCTTATTTATAGCTTATATTTTACATTATTTATAATATATAGATGATTGGTATTTGTCAAGGTACATTTGACAAAACAATACCATATACCAAAGAACGTAAACAATTTGGTCAACGTATATTTGATTTTCAAGTCTGATGAATCATGCGTATCCGATTTGTTTTATTTGAAATTTTCTGATTTTAGGGTATGCAACATCAAATAGCTTCATTAGCTACAGAAATTGAAGCAGCTCGTCTTTTAACATATAATGCTGCTCGTTTACGTGATGCTAAATTACCATTTGTAAAAGAAGCAGCAATGGCTAAACTTTATGCATCAGAGGTTAGAAATATCATATATTTTTATTTTTATTTTTTCCTGTATTGTATTCTTCTATTTATAGTTAGCAGGTAAAGTAACCAGTAAATGGTATGTATCCTTTTTCTATTTTATCTATAAGTTTTTAATAATAATAATAAAAAAAACTATGAATTTTAATTATTATAGCATTGATTTTATGGGTGGTCTTGGATTTTCATGTGAATATCCACAAGAAAAATTTTTTCGTGACTGTAAAGTTGGTGAGTTAAATATTAGTTTTTTTTTTTTTTTTTGAAAAATTTTTTTCTAATATTAAACAAATCTAATTTTAGGAACTATTTATGAAGGAACGAGTAATATGCAATTAAATACAATTGCCAAGTTTATTGACAGTGAATATTAATATTTTTTTATTAGAGATTGTAATAATTGAAAATAAAATAGATTTAGAAAGATAAATTGATTAATTAAGAGAAAAAAGTAATCATGTCTTATAAAATTAGTCATTAACGGGTAATTTGGTTTGATAATTTAATTTGGGTCCAGAAAAGTTTTGCTTCTGAGCCACACGACTTAAAGCAAAAATGCATGTCTAAAAAGAAAAAACAAAATTCATAAATATTAAGAGTTTAATTGATTAGACGAAAAAAACTTACTGTAACTTGTTGAATATTTTGTTTATCAAATAAATCAACGGCTTGAAATACTTCACTTGGATTAACACCATAGGCCTGAGCAGCATCTTGAAAAAAGGATATATTTTCACGTAATTTCATTGGACTACCAGTTGTATGAATTTTTGCTACTGAACCAGGTTTAAGTTTATTCATTAATCTTAAATAAACGATATGTATATATGTAGAATATTACAACATATTTAAATTTTACTTGCAAAGAACAATTCCATCATGAAGAGCTTCTGCATAATCATTGTTTGGAAATTTTTCACCAGTAACAGCTTCAACCCATTCTCGTGCTGCTGTTTCTTGTTCAGGATCTTGTTTGCACGATATCTAACAAAATCAAATAATATGAATATTTATTTATTCGAATATATTTTTGTTTTTATTCATACTTTGCCTTTAACTGCTCGATCTAATGCCATCTTGTGTATTAATTGTGTTGATTCAAGGAAGAAGTGCCCGCAAATATATCCTATATATACCGTACCACAACCGTTCTACAATATCTATCAACAACGTGGGTGTTTTTTTTTCGCCTGTCATCCTTAATCTTTTGTAAACCAGAAAGAAATAGATAAGAAACCAATGGTTATTAACAGAGACTAGAAAATATGTAAAAATAAACAGAACAAATCGACATAAGAAAAAGTTATTTCTGGCCAACTGGCTTTGCTTGTGGCTAAAAAAGTAATCTTTTACTTAATATGGTTAGAAACGAAATAAGATAAGAAAATACATAGAAAAATATAATATTGTATGACAGTTGTTTTTTTTTGTACACAAACATGTATTATTCATGTCGACTAGCACGACAGTAACGAATGACATGCCATAAGAACCTTTCATTAAAAAGATAAATATGGAATAGACGAGAACATTTATATATAATGATGATAATTAAACTGATAGGATTAACTTTTAAGATTTAAATCTTTTTAGAATATCAAAAATTTTTCATTTATTTTATAGAAATAAGATTTTGATGATGAAATTTGAATTTTTTTTTTTTTTTATATGCAAAGCTAATAATGTGTCATCTTTATTCAATTGATCCCGATTGAGGACAATATTAAGTGTCCTCGAGGCATTCATTTTATTTTCTTGTTATTTTATGTCTGATGATAAGCAACTATAGTGTGACCGTTGTCATCGTATTCAATGTTTTAAGTAGGTTTCTATTATATAGAGAATGAACTAATAAAAAAAAGAAAGCCATTTTATTTTATTTCAAGCAAACGAATGTACGATAAGTTTTATTATTCTTGTCCGTTAGACATATTTACAATACGTAGTTCAAATTATATGCTTTTTCTCTTTTTCTTTTTCTCTTGTGATGCCATGGGAATAGGCTCATGTTCAGTTGGCTCATACAAAACAAACATATGTCGATAATATAACAAGACTACAAAGATCGATCATTTTATCTTTCAAAAAAAAAAAAAAAAAAAATAGAGAACAGAGCAAATGAAAAAAAAAGGTTTCATACGTCTGGCTACAGCACATATAGATATACAGAGAAGAAGGGGAGGAGGGAAAGAAAATTTATACAAGATGTAAGACAATATGAACTCTTTCTCTTTTATACTTTAGTTCTTGTTCTATGATTCGATAAGAAAAGAGAAAGAAAGAAAATATAGGTGTGCATAGTTGAGAAGAGAGAGAGAGAGAGAGAGAGAAGGTGGAATCGACATTTTTTTTTTATCCACCTGAGAACAAAAGTATACCTGAATCGCGTACACATACACACACACACACATACACATATCTGTAATAACATAATCAAAGATGGCTTGTTGTATTAATGTTGTATGTTTATTCTGTACTCTATGTGTATTTATTGGTATGGCTAGTCTTATACAACTTGGTTTGGGCATTTGTTTAACTTTTCTTCAACCGGATATAGCTACAATCAATCGTCTTGTTAAAACAGATCAATTTGATTCATATCTACTTTATATTTTATTTGTCTTTATTGGCTTAGGTTTAATTTCTTTGGTATTATCATTCTTTTCTATTTATAGTACTGTTCGAAGACTTAAATCATTATCATTATTTGTTACTGTTTTATGGGTTAGTTATTTTTTATTTTAATAAATTTCTATTTTTACCTAATTTCTTTTTCTTCATTCATTTTTTTTTTTGTTAAAATAGGTATTTGCAGCAGCACTTAATATTGTTATGCTTATTGTATTATTTCTCTATTATTTTGCTATTCTTCCACAACTACGTCTTTTACTTTTACGTACACTTCAACAAACACCATTATCAACATCATATTTAATCGATCCTCTTCAATCAAAATATCATTGTTGTGGAATTAATGATAAAGATGATTATAAAAATCTTTCATTAGATCCATTTCCTTCATCATGTTGTCGTGTACCGAATTGTTGGCGTGATACAGATATTAATAATAATAATGGTTCAAATAGTACAATATCATTAATGCATACGAAAGGTTGTTATCCAGTTATTGATAAATATGTTACTATTGAATTATTAATACTTATGGGTACAGCTAGTTTTTGTGCTTTATTACAAGCATTAGCTATTATATTGATGTGTACTTTATATCAACGTTATAAAAAATTAAATGATGATGATCCAAAATTTATAATTAATCATCTAACTACTAATGGAAAATCAATGAATAATAGCAATGATAATATTCAAGGTTCATCAAAAACAATTGAAGAAACAGTTGAAATAACTCAAATTTAAATTGAAGAATATTTTCTTTTGTAAATAATTAATTATAACAGACTTTAGTATTAGAATTATGACTATTAATATTTGTGTGCGTGTGTGTGTGTGTATTGGTAGATTTTTTCATTTGTTTTTATTTGCTGTGTAGATAATATGTAACATTACATTCCTTGTTATAAATTTAAGAATATGTTTATAATAAATTATTTCATGTATTGAATAGTGATGAAAATTATATTAGTATCATATGAAAAAGAACGCGTGACACATAATGGATGGTCGATTTTTGTATTTCTTTTTTTTTTTTTATCATCTAGTACGTTTATTTTAAAAACAAAATTTACGTACTATACGATACGGCGTGAAAAGCTCTACAAGGTACATAAAAACCTTATATAATATATACATACTTTGTTTTCAAAATGGATCAAAATTCTGTGTGACCAATTTTCGACACTGCAAATATAATTATTTTTTAATAACCAATCAAATCCGGTTTTTTTTTTATTTCATCGATGAAAGTCACTGATGAAAATTGTTTCTAATGAGAACTTGTTTATGCTTCATTGTCTACAAGAAGCAGACAAACAAAGAAACATAAATCAAAAGGATAAATATCCAACAAAAATTATGATGAGGTTAGAAAGTTCTGAAAATGATCTGAGGTCTCTAATTATATTTAAACTTGATCATATAAGATTTATATTGAAGTTGTTCTTTCACATGCACAAACCGAAGGTCAACGCCTACTTAATGACGATTTCATCTACCAACGGGTCAACATCACATCGCATACAAATCAGGAATCATTGGCATGATGTAAAGAGAATTTCCTGCTGTTCTTAAACAATAATAGCTGAGCCACCAAACAGTCCTAATATCAACATTCTAGATTATTCTATATGAGACATTATCAGATGTAATGGAATAAAGTTAGTAACTATGATTCATTAATTGAAGAATCACTGATCTTATTCATAGCATTAAAAATTAGTTACACAGAATTCTGGTCCATTTTGAAAAACAAAGTGAATATATATTAAATTGTTCTTTGTAAATTGTAGAGCTTTTTTACTCTATATCTTATGGTATATTTTGTTTTTCAAATAAATGTACTATAGATGATAAATAAATAAAAGAAATACAAAAACCGACCATTCATTAGGGGTCACTTATTATTTTATCAATACTCAAATAATCGACAAAAACACTTGAGACCACTTATCAACGAATTAAGTGATAGGATCATAATTCAATATAATAAAACTTTTCTGTATCAAAATATACAAAGAGAAGAATGTTGAAAAATTTAGTTTTTTTTTTTACTTTTACTTTTGCTCTATATTAAATTGAAATTATATTGAATATGTCGAAAAATAAATATCTCGAAGATAAATTTTCATACCAACATAAGAAGATCTTATTGTAAAGGTTAGAATATCAGAGTTTATAACAATACAATACATTTAGTTATTTGTCCTTCATTTCAATCTGTTTATTTAAGGTACATGAATCGATATAAGAGACAATTTACAATCATAGATAAAGATATTTTTTATTCGGCTTATATGTTAATGATGATTGATAAGAGTACAGTAATGAATATAACAAGAATAGAAGAAATATGACTCATTCGGTTCACTATATTTTAAAGTCAAACGATGACTTTTGATATAATTGTATGTGAGTGCTTAAAAGTGAAATAAATGTAATATAATAAAAGAAGAATTTTAAGAGTTTTTCCCTCCAAAAAAAGTCAATTTTCATTAGAAAAATTAAAATAATAGCCCGAGGTCTGATCTTTCATAAATAACATCATTTTTTATTTGATATCTCATTTTTGTGCCAAGAGTTTTGATGATTTTTATTACCTTCTGCTTGAAAAATATGCTTTTTTCAGAAAAAGTGGCAAATCTTTTTCATTTTTCTTATGTTCAGGCTTTTCTGTTCGCACATCTCAAAATTCTCGAATGAACTTCATTGTAGCCGATTGCTCTTTTTTTGTTTAAAAGAGCATGCGAAGCTGCATTACCTGGTAGTGCTCAGTTTTTAAATTAAGTTTTATTATTATTATTATTATTATTATTATTATATAAAAAGGCACTTCTATAAATAAATAATCACTTTTTGAGAGTTTTTCGAAGTAGTGAACTTATCTTCTTTTTTCTCAGCATAAAAAGTAAGAACTCAAAAAAACAAAAGCGCTCTCCCAAGCACTCTATAGTGTGATATACTCTTTCTCTCCACTAGAAGCCTAATATATCCTGAAATTTCATGTGATTAGAATGCATTTGATCCAAGATTGATTTTTGAGGAAGCGCTGAATCACATTACGTTCGATGTCTCATTTATCTAAAAACTAAGAATCATTAATGCACAATCAGTTGCAAGAATGTTCTGAGGTCGCCAAGATTGGATCGATTATTGAGAAAGTACAATTCACGATATTTGGAGATAGGAATCGGTGTACAAAAAAACGAAGAAAATCGTTCAGGTTCGCTGAGACAAAAAAGAACAGTTTCCAAGATTGAGAGATTACTCCCCGACCCTCCTCTCTCCGCTTGAGACACTCCTGATCAATTGCATTATAAATATTACGAGTATTAATCGCATTCAATATATCGTTTTCATACAGTAGAATCTATATCTACATTATTGAACAATACTTTTAATATTATCTATTCAAACGAAAAACTTTATCCTTCGATGATTACAT